TATAAAAACCCTCAATGGCTGATATGAGAAAATATTTCTAGATGAACTGTCTGAAATGAAAACTTAAGAACTGCTCCTACATAACGGGGTTGAGTGAAGAATAATTACGAAGGTTAGGTTAGGTTAGGTCCAAAGTGAGTGAGGCTATTCGACCCTCCAATGCAACCTGCAAGGGATTATTGTGGCTCACACTTATTCACACTCAACCATTTATCTGTTATCTGTTGTATAAATATTATCAAAATGTAAAAGTGCTCATTTCTATGAAAATCAGTTATTTATCAGTCTTAAATCCCAATCCACTCATTCATAACCATTCAATATCTTGTTTTGAAAGGCCCGTAAACCGCAACATCCAAAGGTTTGAATCTATGGCTACAATGAGATGAAAATATCAGCAGAAGTAACTTGTCCAATTTGTTTTGACCCTTTTTCAGCGATGATTTTAGGAGGAGCTGAAACAGTGCTGAATCCTGGAGCAGGCTCTTTCAAAGCCTCCACAAGTGGCTCTGTCAAAATATTTTGTCATTTAAGTTGTAACCTCAAAATATAGCTATATCGCGTAAACATTATGACATCCATATTATCGTTAAATAATGCTAAATATATGCCTAACAAGACAACATATTAAATTTATCAACTCATGCTGCACTTTTCTTTGTAAAACAAATTGATTGAACGCAAAAAAAATACTTTTTGGTCCTAAAATCTTTGATGTGGTCTACCGAAGCCATTCGTTTTCGCAGAACTGTTAAATGTTTGTGGATCACAGCTATTTAGTGTTGCCATGCAAACATTAAAGTCAAATTACGGTAAGATTTTGGTAAGTGGTAGAAAATCACATCGGCTCTTTCAAAGCCTGGCTCTTTCATACACACTCTCTCCTACTTACAAGATCGATCAAAAAATGTATCCCACTGCCATGATGTAGCGTGTTTTGGACATAGCACAAAAAAAATCGGTCCATTTTTGAACAGAAAAACACACCACTGACAGTGATGTGCCGTAATACCAATGAATTACTCTTTAAAATAAAACAAAATCAATGCAATCGAGATCCCATATCTAGCGAAATTTTGATTGTGCCAATTTACAGCCCAGGGTTCATAATTAAGTCTAGATCCAAAAGACTCCTTTCCTTCATTAAAGGTGTTACTGACAAAATTGTCCGAATTCTCGAAAAACAGGACATAAAAACGATATTCACTGCAAACAATCAAATTTCCACATTCCTCCGATCGCCCACGTACAAAATTGTCAATGGATCCCAGGGATATATGAAATTCCATGTTATAATTGCTGCCATATGTAGGCCAAACCAACAGATGTGTGACCAGTAGAGTATAGGAACATCAACTTGCTGTCCGAAAGTAAGACTCATCTTCAGCCCTGTCCAAACATCATCCAGAGAGAGTACACAATATAGACTTTGCCAACACTAAGACCATCGCCACAACGAAAACATTACAAACTCGGATAATTCACGAGGCCATCGAAATCTGAACAAACGTAACGACGATCAGAGACTGTTAACTATTGAATTCGTTTTTTGTAATACAATTTTTTTAAATCATTTTGATTATTAGATTCCTCAAAAAATTTCTATTATTTCATATAAACCGAAAAAAAATCTTGTTGTTTTTGGGGTATTTAACCTTAAATAAACTGATGTTTCGGAATTTAACAACCTCTTCCCTCTTTCAAAACCCAAAAATATTATTTGTTAAAAGGAGCCCATTTAAAAACATATAGATTTTCTGTCTTCAGAATGTGAAATGTGTTTCGAAAGGAATCTTATTGATGTAAGCTTTGAATTTGATTCAAACTTGGAAAAGGTTAATTAAGAAAACGTAATTGAGGGGAGAATTGCGATAAAAATATTTTTGTCAGCTCATTATTGTTTATTCAACACTACCAAGTTTTAATTTTTTTTTTCATTCCTCGATATCCATATTTAATGAGTTGAAATACTTTTTGTTTAAGCGCCCGAATCGGTTGTCGTGTGCCTGAGCACACGACATATTTTCAATTCTCAATTGAAACTATGGGTATAAACATTGAAGCTATAGTTTCGAATTTTTTTTAGTTGATTTTCTGCTCATTGAGGTCTCTTTTCAAATTTTGGATATTTGCAAAATATCTTGAAATGTTTGCAAAAAAGAACATCTTTTTTGTTTAACTGAATCGTTTTAAAGTATTTGTGAACTATAAACAATAAGATCTCTGCTCACTATAAAAGATTCGTTGCTCAGTGCGACCTTGCTCATATGACATTTTGAGTTATAATGTTGTTGATAGTTTTTTATTTTTAAAATATTTCATTTTGAATGAATTATGTCTAATACAAATTTTTTGTGCAATAATGAATCTTCAGTGAATACTGAATTTCAATTTGTTCATTTGGGCGATTTTTTCTAATTCACCTATATATTCGTAATAATAATAATAATNAAGTGTCAAAGAAGGAGGAATAAGGTGTAAAGGTGACTCAGTGAATAAATGATTGTGTTTTTAAATAGTTTATCTTGTGAAAAAGAAGGCTGAAAAGTTGCCCTTTTCTGAAATTTGAAGGGTCGTAACTTTGTAAATAAGGAAGAGCTCCGCTTTTTTCTGTCGGATTCGTAATCTACGTATCAAAATATGTAAGTACACTCAAACATTTTTACAAAATCGCCATGTGGGACAATGTAGTCGAAATTTCTCAAAACAGTATGCTGAATATGAAGGGTCCTTTAGACTAGGTGAAAATGATTCGACATTTTAAAACTATTCCTTTGAATGCAACCACAAGTTCCAGAATCTAAACGATATGGAAATTTTGCACTGACGGTTGGAAACACAACCATGTATTTGGAATCCTTGGAAATTCATAAGCATAAGCATTGCGGATGTACCTACTAAATGACAAATTGATCTAGTCTACTCGGTGGTTCCCAGACACATTGTCACACTTGAAAAAAATTCAGGTAAATAAGTCATTAAGAACCATCTTATATAACCAAAGTGGTTGTATAGGTATATGTATAAGGATATCCATTGTTAATCATTTCAGTTCATTGTGTTCGTTTGAAAATGTCCTTGCAGGACGAAGTGGTATAAAAACATAAGAAGTTTACATTCTCATTTTTCATGATTATATCCTACCACATAGTACCGGCCACATCCACCAATTTAATATTCAATAACAATATTATTGCTTAACAATTTCGATATCTCTTCAAGAAATTTGTTTAAAAAACTCTGACACTTGTGCAAAATATCTTCCTCTTTAAATCAGATCAGCTACCAACAACCATGTTCTCCTCAGATATGCGATCCGCTAAGGTGATGTGCCCCCATCCCCCCGTTCACCATATGCATCGCCGCCGCGCTGTTCCCCGACTGAAAATACATATGGTTTGCTTATAGACTGATCTAGTTAGGGGTGTATCATACATATCAAGCCTAATCGGTCCCAAGATCTCTTTATATTTACAGAAAAAAGAACAATTCGAGAAGCAAGAGTTCAAATTGGCCGCATATCTATTGACCAATAAAGTTGATCGTGTCTACTGCAGAGTTGCCAAGTGTATTATTATCCAAACATAGAACTAAAATATAGTGGTCCAATTTGACAGATAGGTTATTTTGGATTGAATTTTATCATTACTACCACCAAAATCGTTAAAATATGTTTTGTACCTAGTTGTAAAAACAGATCATCCATCAGACAAAACGTTTTTCAGTGTTCCAAAAAATAAAACTATAAGAGAGCTATGGTTTTCTACTGTCAGATATAAATCATCATCGAAAGGTCATGCATATTACTGCGGCGAGGATCACTTAGACGTACGTATTTTTCTCATTCAATAAATATTTTAAAAAATAACAATCTTTTTTATAATCTCATAGATGGATGTATTTATTTTTTCAGTTAGCAGAAAATACTCAAAATTGGGTGCAATTCACAATTCTTAAAGGAACATAACAGTAACAAATGTTCAAACAACATATATTGGCAAACAATCAAGTTATTTTACCGGAGCCGACATTTGTGTTGGCCAATAAAAAATAGTTTTTTTTTTGATAATTATTTGCAGTTGAACAAATTGAGGATTGTAGAATAACTGGAATAAAATTTGAAATGAATCTTCTTTCTCATTTATAAACTCATATATTAACTATTAATTGTTATAATGAAAATTTTAATTCAGTTTGCTACATTTTTTGATTTTCATAATTGTATATTATTTGGTAATGTATGAAATCATAGTTTAGGTAAATATATAT